GGAGATTTCCCACATTGTTGCATGGGCTATGAGAAAAGATTAGATTGGCTGGGCTTGTTTACCTTGGACCACTGAAGGTTGAATGGGAATCTTATAGGCTGTATAAGAAAATGAGGGGTGTAAGTAGGGTACATAAGATACTTCTCTGTTAGTACAGGGTTCAGGAACCATGGGGCATAGATTTAAGGGAAGAGAGATAGAAGACAGGAGAGCAGAGGAGGATTTTTTTTCACTCAGTGGTGGGAGTCTGGAACTTAACTGCCTGAAAGAGTGGTTGAGTCATAAACAATCATAAATTTTAAGCAGTATTTAAATATTTGCTCGCGTTGCCATAGCCTCTAGGGCTATGGACCAAAAGGTGGAAAATGGGACTAGTGTAGTCTAATCTTTGTTGACCAGCACGGGCACAGTCTTTTCCCCTATATCAGACGTATCTAGGACCAGAGAGCATCAGTTTAAAGTGAGGAGTAAAAGGTTTGGAGGAGATGTGAGAAAACATTTTGTCACCCAGAGGGTGATAGAAAAATGGAATGCAATTTTTTGAAAGGTTAGTGGAGAAAAGTACTCTTGAAACATTTAAGAATATCTGGAAGAGCACTTATTATACCAGGGCATAGTAGGCTATGGACCAAGTGCAGTGTTATTGGTCGGCATAGATACGGTGCTCTGAAAGACTTGCTTCTATGCCATGTGACTCTGACGCTCGATGAATTAATGGGCTGATCATCTGCATTCTGTGCTGTAAACGTCAGAGTCTGCTTCTTCTGCATACTTGACACAAGACTTTGAAAACAAGCTTTCTGACCTACATCATAAACAGTTGGTTGCCAGGAGAGCAAAGAATATGCTTCAAAGATGCTCTCAAAGCCTCCCAGAAAAATATTATATCTCTACCAATGTGTGGCCCTTGCTCTCAATTGCTGAAACTGGAGGAGGAGCATCCTCGAAGGTGCTGAGCATCTTGTACAAACAGAAAGAAGTGTGTAAAAACCCAACCATCTACCCAGCTGTCTTTTAAAATGCCATTCCCCTCATGTGGCAAGATGTGTAGATACAGCGTTGGACTGCTTTGTCACTGACGCCCCACAACTCCAACATCCTTGATGTTGAGGGATGGCAGGCCATTTATATGCCCGCAAAAAGGACAGTGTGATGTTCACCTGCTTTTGAAATTCAGTTTAAGCAAAACTCATCCTGAAAGCTCTGACATTCACTAAAACAGCAAGTAGCTTTGTCCTGATCATAATAGATCACCCCTTTAACTGGACAAAACCATCTTTTGACAGATGAGCAAGGGACTCACCAAACCTCTGTTTTATCAGAGATACTAAATTGGCACTTATCTAGTTCAGTAGATCTGATTATTTACCAGAGACCTCACCTGAAAATAGTTCTGGGCTCTGATACAAGTGATTAATTTCTTGCTTTACTTCCCCAGATTGATATGGGAATACATTGGTAGGATCTGCAGCACTTTCTGCTAGTTGACTGTCCTGGTTTTTGGAGGGGAGGGGTGTTTGAGATTATACTTGAAGTAAATCCGATCGAATGTAATTGGGCAGTGTTCCATAAAAAGTAGCTTTATTACATTTGAACTTGCATATTTATACATGACAAAATATGCATTAAAACATATCCTTAGATGTTCAAATTGGGACTCGGTGTGGAAACTGTTTTATGTTTTTTGATGTACAGGCAGTCACGGTTTGTGAACGAGTTTCCTTCCTAAGTCTCTTTGAAAGTGATTTGTACGCGAGTTGGAGCACAACATGGGACAATATATAAGATAACTGTTCATAAGTACAAGGAAGTGTTCATAGGTTGGATCTTTAAAATTAATATTATACACCCTGTATGGGATTGTGTTCGTTAAGTATGCGTTTGTAAGTCAGACATTTGTAAATTGGGGACTTCCCGTACACCCGAAAATACGTACCCTGGAACAGTGATGCTGATGCAGCAAAAATTATCCAGTAGGGGATGCTAGATCCAAATCTCAACCCTTATTTGAAACTCATTTTCTGAAGCTGCTAACAGCTGATATTTTGACAATTAATTTTAACTTCTGAAATTTGTAATAATTTTAAAATATTCCCCATAATTTCTTTTTGGCACATTCAATATTTACTTTTTCAAATGCTGCATGGCATTTGGCAATAGTCATTTTTTTCCAAGCCGTAGATGGTTTTCATTTTCACCAGGGTGATGATCTAACAGACAAAAGACAAGCAATGCTAGAATCCAGTCAAATATTATTCTGCTGAAATCAGTGAAGCGAAAACTGTGTGGTTTCCATGTAATGCAGTTGATTAGTCCCACCGAATTACCACCTAGCCACACCAAATAATTTTTAGATTTTTGTCTTCCCACAATGCATTAATTGTGCAAGATATTTTAAAATCAAAAACAAGTCATCACTGATATCTCATTCATGATGTTATTTTGTTAGCTTAACAGGTGCAGGTGCTGTCTGTAAATCTGGTTTTTAAGATTTGTGCTGCATAAGTTTCACCTAAGATGTGATTTGGCCTCTTAGATAGTAAACAGTAATATTGATATCTTACGTTTCATATTTCAACCCAGACCTAAAAGTTGAGCAGCTTGCATATTTTTTTAAAAGGAAATTAGAAAGTAGTTGATTTTGTTAATGATACGGTTTCTTTTATTGAGATGAATGCCCGTAATGTAGTGTTCACATGTATATGTAGGATTTCACAGACATATTATGAATTTTTGTTCTAATCAAGAATATATACATTAACCTTGACATTGTTAGCCGTGATGGAGTCTGTACTAATGGTGGTTGTTAATTGTTTGCCAAACTTGGTATGGGTCAAGGATTGTAAATGTAACAATTTATCCCAGATTCTTTTTGGAGCTCATGAATTAACTGATGGTAGCTACAATGCTCATGGAATTTGCTCCTTCAACCTGAGACAAAATAAACTGAAGAAAAATTAACAAAGGTAAAAAAATGATTCGGGCTACAGCCAGGCAGCCAAGTGTACATTTTTCATGTCTTAAAACAATTGTACAAGGTTAAGCTAATCAATCCATCATAAAATGAAAGTTGCGTAAAAGCAAAGGTAGTCATTTCTCTCTCTCTGTACACTCCTGGATCAGCAGTCGCGGCCCTTTGCGTTAAGCTTTGACGGTAGTGTTGGAAGTGTTTATAGCCTGATTATCAGAACTTGGTAACAGCCACATTTGTGGCACCAGGGTTGGCTATGGTATACAAAAGGGGAGGAAAAAGATTGGGAGAGCTTTAGTGATAGGAACTCAGTTGTATTGGGAATTTGACAGGTAGTCTGTGACAGCAAATGAGACTCTCAAATAGTATGTTGCTTTGCTGGTGCCAGGGTTAGCGATTTCTTAGTGGCTGCTGGGCATTCTGCAGGGGGAAGGGTGAACAGTCAACAGTCGTTCTATATGTTGGTGCCAGCAACATGCGGTTAAAAAAAGAAATAACGTCCTATCACAGGAACTTAGACATCGGTAGGAGATTAAAGAGTAAAACCACTAAAATTGTAATCTCCAGATTACTTCCAGTGCCATGTGCTACTTGAGTATAAGAATAGAAAGACAGGTCATTGATGATCTCATGGTTAAAAGGATGGTGTAGGAGAGTGGGCTTTAGATTTTTGGATCATTGGGACAGTTTGTGGGCTAGGTGCGACCTGTACAAGATATATAGATGCACCTGAACTGGAATGGGTCCACTTGTGTTTTTGGAGAAGCTTTAAACTAATTTGGCAGGGGTGGGGCACTCTGTCGTTGTAAAGTTGTGAACGAAATCCAATCGGATATTGAAGGAATGTTAGGACAGTCCATTAGGCTGAGAAGACGTGGGTATGATAAAGCACGTGGGAGGACCAGAAAGTGAAAGTCCAGAAATTGGATTTTTTTTTAAATGCAAGGAGCTTGATTGATAGGTGGATCTTTAGAGCGTTGATAGGCAATATAAGATTGTTGCAATCACAGAGACAGGGTTAAATGAAGTGCAGGACAGGTAGTTCAACTTTCTGTGGTATAGAAGTTGCAGGCATGATAGGGGAGAAGGTAAAAGAGGTGGGGGCATTGCATTATTGTTAAAGGCAAGCAGTACTGCAGTAATGAGGGAGGATGTCCTAGAAGGACCTTCAAATGAGGCCACCTGTGTGCCTCATAAAAAAGGAGGAATCCGTAGGCTTATAGCAATCAATGTAGACAAGGCTTTAAAAATGATTTCAAATCCGTCAAAGAGGATTCCAACCTGAATGTTTTTTCCACTGATAAAGTAAATTGAATAGTCAAGACTCGAGGTGCAGGATGGCACCAAATTGAAATGATTAGGAGATGATTCTTTGCTTTTGAAGAGGTGCTGGTTAACTAAAGAGAATGTAGGAGTTCAGGAGGCTTGTCAGATGCATTATCTCAATTTTTGTAACATTTTGTTACACAACCTACCATTAATGTTTTAATTTATCTTTGAAAAGTGTTGATGTTTGCAGGTTTGGTAAGTCCAAAGGTAATGTCAGTATTATCATAGGTCTGTAAATTGTTCAGTTGTGTTTTAATTTATCTTTAATCCAAAGCAAACAACAAAACATACAGTTTCACAAACAATTTTGTTTATATATTCATTATTAGGAGGGGAGAAATTTGCGTTTTATACAAAATGTAATGCGATTTCACATTTTGTGCCCCTTTCAATATCTCATAAGTATACACCGTTTTATATTTATGGGGGTTTGGACTGAGAATATATCAGAGAGGCTTGGGAATTTGACTTTGCGACCAAGTGTTTAACAGTAAATTGACATTGAACAAATAGATTGCTTTGGCTTGTTATCCTATACTTCCCTCTGCATCATGTTAACTGAAAAAAAAAAATCAGTGTTCTTAAAATACTCATAATAATGTAATCAATGTGATTACTGTGCAAGAACTGATGAGTATATCATGGCCAAACATTTGAAAAAGCCTAATCTATGGTGTGACATATTTATTTTAATTTACAGACAGTAGTGAATGCCTCACAGATGAGTGTAGTATCATTGCCGGAGGAACCCTTACTGGTTGGCATGCTGACGCGGCAGCTGTGTTATGGAGAAGAATTTTGGGCATTCTGGGAGATGTCAACTGCATACGCTGTCCTAAAATCCACGCCCTTGTTTTCGAATATCTATACGAACTCTGGCACAAATTAGCTAAGGTATGCTGGCTGTGAAATAATACTTTTTCTAATGTTCTCTGATGTGCATGTGATCTTATTTGTAGGCCTCTCCAAAACTGGTAAACAGAGGTGGAATGAGGGTGGTGGTGGGATTCGCAAGGTATAATAAAAATTATCTCTTTGGTATACATCAAACACAATCTCAACATTTCGCAGATAGTAGGAACTGCTGATGCTGGAGAATCTGAGATAACAACAAGGTGTAGAGCTGGATGAACACAGCAGGCCAAGCAGCATCAGAGGAGCAGGAAAGCTGACGTTTTGGCTCTGGACCCTT